GATTAAGAGTTCGTTGTACTGAATCCTCTGTGACAATGGCGGATCCTTCTGTTTCCAATTTGGGTGTTTTTGATGCATCGGTATAAACTATTTGACAGGATGAATATTTATTTTTAATATTGTAGAAGTATTGAAGAAAAAGAGATGAAGGGGTACTGTCCTTAGTATAAGCTGACAGATCTGTTTTACAATATGGAATTTGGATAGTCCAAGGGGGAGCATAATCAATATTGGTATGCATAATACCCGGAAATGTGAAGTTGCTAATTCTTTTGCTAAATGATGGTCGAAGATTAGGATTTTGATTGTAATTAGAATGGTAATATGTGGAGAAAGGATAGGGGTAGGCTGGGTTGTTTGGATTAGTTGATAGCTTGCTTGCGTATTGTAAACTGAGACGTAATCTTCTAATAGAAAGTTTGTGAAAGAGAGAGATTCATTTGTGCATGGAGAGGTACAGACTTCTGTAGGCTCCTAGAGTTAGTCTTAGTGCAGTATTTTGTGCAATATCTATTTTTTTTAATGTTGAGTCCTTAGCTGAATTATATATATATATATATATATATATATATATATATATATATATATATATATATATATATATATATATATAGAGAGAGTATTGTGCGAATTAATGGAATCATAGGCTGTTTTAATGAAAAACAGTTTATTTAGTAAAAAATTATATTTTGACAAAACTATAAAGGTAAACTTACATCATTCAGTAGGAAATATGTCCCCCTTAGGCAGCAATTACTGCTTTTACCCGTTTTGGCATAGATTCTATGAGTTTCTGGCAGTTGTCAGATATCCTTTCATCTCGATACCAAACCTGAATGGCCACTTCTATCATTTTTGTTTTAGTGGTACAGTCGATTTTTCGCAGTCTAGCTTTGCAAATGGCCCATAAATTTTCAATGGGGTTGAGGTCGGGTGAATTACCGGGCCAATCTAAAACATTAATCTTCTTATTTTTGAAAAATGCCATCATTTACTTTGATTTGTGACAGGGAGCAGAGTCCTGTTGAAGAATCGTTCCTCCTTGGGGTTGACATTTTTGGAGTTGTTTGTCCAAATACTTTTCCAACATGGATTTGTATTTTTGGCTGTTCATCATGCCTTCAATTGGCACCAAAGATCCAACCCCCATTTATGAAAAACATCCCCAAAACATTTTCTTGACTCGATGTTTTACGGTTTGATCAATATGAGATGGTGTAAGCTTTTCATTGTCAGACTTCCTGATGAATTTCGACCGCTGTCCCTGAACTATAAAGTGGGTTTCATCTGTAAATAGGACTTTTTTCCAGTCGCCTACAGGCCAATTAGAGTATTTTTGGCCCACAGTAGCCTTTGTTTCTTCATTCGTTCAGTTAGAAGCTGTTTTTTCTGTGGACGAATTGCCCTTCTACCATTCTCCAAAAGTCTTCTACGAACAGTTGAGTCATGAATCACTATAGCTGATGCTGCTAGATCTTGTTGTAGGTCTTGGCTTGATTTTCTTGGGTCCAATTTGCTATCTCATTTGCTCTTTCGAAGTAAATCTATCATCTGCTGGTGTTGTTTTTCTCTTTCTTCCACATTTTCCTAACCTTTTCACATCCACTGATCCCGTTTCTCGTTTACGCTTCAAAATTTTGCTTACTACCCCCTGACTCACTCCACACGTTCTAGCAATCTCTCTTTGTGACATACTAGTGTGTTCACTCAACGTGACAATATTTTCACGCTTCCTAGGCGTAATATCCATGTTGGAATAAAACCAAAAACAACACAAAATAGTACAAAAACCCCCAAAACAACACAAGCTTGGTAAGAAATGACCTAAAACACACTCAAACACACCAACACACAGTAAGGTTATGTTTTCAATGCTTGGTCAGCTGTCAACTGTGTAGGTAGTGTTGCCAACTGTAAATATTGAAAAAATAAAAAAAAATTCACAGTGATTCCATTAATTCGCACAATACTATATATTGATCCATAATCTAATTTACTGCGGATTAAGGATTTGTAAATATTTAGTAGCTGTGTTGTGTCTATGCCCCAATTATGATTTTCTAGTACTATAAGAATATTTATGTTCTGTAAACATGATTTTTTAAGTAATTGGATTAATTGGATATGTTTATTCTAAGTAAGTTTTGAATCAAAAATCATACCTACAAATCTAAGTTCCTCAACGGTTTGTAAAACTTGATCATACAGTGTTAATTTTGAAATATTTGCAACAATTTGATGTTTTCGAGACAACACATTACTTTGGTTTTAACCGTAGAAAATTTCAGTCCTGTTGTTTTAGACCATTTTTGTGGGGCATTTATAGAAAGTTGAATAATGTTTGATGCCATATTAAGAATTTTATGAGACATATAGATTACGAGGTCATTTGAATATATGATTGCTTTAACAGGGTTTCGGATATTGTTCTCGATATCGTTACTTGCAACTAAAAAGAGTGTTGCGCTTAGTGTAGATCCTTGGGGTATGCAATTTTCTTTTGTATAGTATTCTGAAAGTTCTGAAAGTTATTTTTGTTCGTTGTATTGTTGTTTTCATCCCACTTTTGTAAGCGTATTTCCAAAATCCAAATACGGACTTTCAACTTTACTGTGGGGATGTGAAAAATTGCTTTTGTAAAGTGGGAGTCATTTAAAAACTTCACAAAAGTTTGTTTTTAGTTCGCATGCTCTAAACTAGTTTCACAGATGTATAAATAAAGATACAAACAATAAATCCAAATTAAAAATAGTTTTACCTAACTACCATTTTTATTAAAAAATACATTTGCATTTTATTTTTTTTATTAAAATCTCCAAAATATATGAACTTATGATTTGGATTCTGATGCAAAAGATATTCAGATTACGGTGTAAAATTATTTCGTTTTGAGATAGTTTAGCGTGTAGAGAGGAGATATTTTAAGAAACTTATTCATACCCACAGGAACATTTTTAAAATTCGTGATTACATTTTGGTAATGGGAGCAAGTAGGGCAAATTAAAATTTAACGGAAAATAATAAACAAATTCTAGCAGCAGGTAAGTTGCAAGAAATAGGTCTGGAAATTTAAAAATATGGACTAGAAATTTTAGCTTTGTGGAATTAAAGTATATCCTATATTAGAATAAAGAACAAACAAACAAACATATCGATACTCAAATACTAAAACCCTATAGAAGAAGCACCCTAAAAATTCTCCTTCATATATATTCTTCATTCCGTCTTACCAGCAGTTCTATCTGTATCATAGCGTGACAGACTTAACGACATGTGAATGTTTCCTTTCCTATATTATTTACACATCATTTTATATTTTGTTTAAAAAAGAAAGTTGCAGATTTAAACATCTTTACCCTGGGAAGCATAATAACTTTTTCCATGTCTGCGCAATAAACTATCGACTACATTTTCTTCCTTTCCTTTGTCTTCGGTGTATAATTTTCTTAATTTATTTGACTTTTCCTTGTGAGCTTTCCATTTATTGCAACTCTTACATGGCTCATCCAGGTTTAATTTTCTATTTAGTTTAACATATGCAATTGTAAAACTTTCAAATTTATACTCTTCATATTACGTAGTTGTCAGGCAAGTACTAAAAGCTGTAACCTAAATATGATTAGAAGCAACCATTTAATCTAATAATACGAAAATAATTCAACCCTAGGTTGATTAAAAAATGAAAGTAGATTTGTAGTTTTCTACTTTGTTGAAACTGAGATTAGTAAGTTACAAAAATAAATAAATAATTAAATAATAAACAATTAACAACATAACTATTGATTAACATAGACTTGATTCTGCATCAAAGCAACTAAAACTTATCAATTGTTACAAACACCAAACATAACCTCCAACTATAAACACTGACACTCAAATGAATGGCATGTGTTACAATCCTTAGCGAATTGGGCATATCTCAGAGTTAGGTCATATTCACTAAGGGTTGCCGCACATAGAAAGAGCAAAACTGTTTTAGTCAAAAACGTTTTTGTTTGAAACGAAAACGTTTTTGTTTCCACAAGAAACATTTTGTTTTCAAGAGAAACAAAATGTTTGCACAGACCATACTGCAATCAGTTTTATCAAAGATGTCGACAGATAACGACGAAATTGCACTAGTTTTCTGTCAGTGGTTGCTCCTACAGGACGAAAAAACGCAAAATAAAAGACAATTTTGGGTGTATCCTATAAATGAGAAAAGAACTGACTGAAACTAAATGAGCCTAAACATGCTTTAGACACACGACTAATCAGTGTGCGTCAGCTCATTTCATTTACATGGAATCATCAGCATCAGACTCGTTTAGTCAAAAACGTTTTTAACTAAAACAGTTTTGCTCTTTCTGTGTGCGGCCACCCTAAGGAAATTTGTCATTTCAGGTTATTTGTTTCTAAAACAAAGTGCCGTAACTCATAGCAAGGCCTTTTTCGCTAAGTAACTTGAGATATGACTTTTTGGCTTACGATCTGAACAATTTATTGAGATGAGCCTTTTTTTCTTAGCATTTGTAGCCTATTACAGGTTGAGATACGGCTTTTTCGCTTAGTACTATGTTTCGGTTAGTACATAGTAACACTAAAGTGAAAAGGACAGAAAATAACAAACATTTGAGACATGTCCTTTTGGCTTAGGAGGGCAATATAAGACATGATAGACAGAGAAGTGAAGACGTGCAAAGAAGATAATTTTGTTTTTCTATTTTAGTACATCAGAGTCTGTGTTATATTGGGGTGTAATTTAAAACTATGGATATCCATAGTTTGTACGAACAAACAAATAATTACTAGCTTATTTTTTCTCTGGTATACGCAAGCATTGACAACATCTCTTCGTATTAATTAATTAGCAGTTCAATAAACTAATTTAAAAGAGTAAGTTGTAAGATGCGATCGATCTTTGCTAACCCACTTTTCCCTACTTTAAGGACCGTGGGAGTTGGTACGCAATGCATTCGGCCAATCATTATAGACAAACATTTTATACTTAATATCCAGATATACGATAGTCGCTAGCCGCGGTTTGCAGAGTTTTCGAGAGTGTGCGTAACTGTGATAAAAAAAACTTGGGAGAGTCAACCGGTAAGTTACAATTTCATTTGTCATTTTTTACTTTAAAATATTAAATTTTTAAACAGAATTTATTAAATGCCATAATGTGATAATATTAATAAAAAGGCTAAACTCTTTAAAAAATTAGCGGCATCATTAATCAGCTTATAAAATTGTCCACTGCTGGACGTAAGCCTCTATTAAAGCTTTGATTAGCTATTTTTTGTTCGCTTTGTGTCTCCACTCGATAATATTTCTAGTCTTCCTTTCCGGCCCTAGGCAACATTGTAATTCCCGGCCTATTTTTTAGTAATGCCACAGTTTTATGTTTGGTAATTTTGTTTCATATAACAATAAAACACTGAAAACTTTAGTTTCAAAACTTCCACAAAATTTAATATAAAATCTTATCACTACAGCTGTTTCCGCAGAACGCCTTTCACAAGTAATTTTTCCCAGATAAAACAAAATGTAACAAATGGTACATCTATTGTAGACCCAGAACTAAGAATCTTGATTAGAAATATATAAAAAATTTTCATAATAGCGGTTTTATCGCTGAATATATTCTATAACATAGCCACCAACGAGAAGTAATCTTGCAAGAAAATATTTTTTTTGCAATCGTTTTTAACGGAGCAACTCTTAGCTCTTTCACCAAATGTTCCTATTTATCTTCAAAACTATTGGTTTGAGGTTTTTTTTTATGAAAAACGCAAGAAAATTTGGCTCTGGTGCAAATAATATGGCATTTCCTTCTGTATTTAAAAGCTGCTGAGCAATAAGGAAAATTGTATTTGTACCTGTCATTTATTTGTGCTGCAAAAAGTTAATAATTAGGTGGGTTTCCTTTGCTTCCCTCATATTTCTGTTCGGTTAGGTCCCTTAGGTGACAGTTTCCAATTTTGATAAATACTTACTATTTTAACAGGAGTAAGCCATACTATTATACAATCATTTGCAAATAAAAATGACACATTAATAAAAAATACACAACATTTTCTAAATAAATTATCGTATATTAAACTTGAATTGAAATATTTTTAAGTTAGTTTTGGCATAAATAGTTTATATACAAATGTGCCATTAGGTACAATTTTAAATATAAACAAAATAAAATTGGGGAATGGCGATACATTGGCAGATAAAACAAGACGAAATACTATATCAGCTACTGATACTACCTATTTTCAACTAAATGATGAATTCTATAAACAAAATTTTGGAGTAAATAGCAATGGGCTGTAGTTTATCTCCATTATTAGTCGATATGTTCATAGAATATTTTGAAACAGATATTATTTCTAAACAAAATTTAAAACCCACAGTATTGTGGAGATATTATATGTATTCTCAATATGGTCTCATAGATCAGAGTTGTTGAATACATTCCTGAATGATATAGACGATAAAGAAGAGACAATAACATTTACCATCGAAAAGAAATATAATAACACACTTCCTTTCCTAGATGTTTTAATCTCTAAGAACGATACTGGATATGCGACTCGGGTGAAAACCAACACATACCTACACATATTTAAATTATCTATCAAATCACAGTATCAATATTAAAAAGGGAATCCTTAAATCCTTATACGATAGAGCCAAAATTACTTGTTCTAACGAAAATTCGTTCTGAGAGGAGAAACATTTGTTAACATCTGTTTTATTAAAAAATGATTATCCTTTATCGTTTATAAATAAGGAATTTTCAACAATCAACAATCAACAATCGACTAAGGAATTAACTTAGAACGAAATCCTATAGCTTACACAAGGAATAATACGAGGAAAATAACAATACCATACATAAAACGATTATCACAGAAACTTAAAAGGATAGGAAATAAATTCAACATTTTAACAACATTCAAAACAACAAACACATTGAAACCTATTTTATCTAAATCTAAACCTAAGAATAAACAAGAAAGAACAAATAATTGTATTTATAAAATACCTTGTGAATGCGATCAATTTTATTTAGGTGAAACATCAAGGTCATTAAATGTTAGAATAAGTGAACATAAGTCTTATATTATAAATAGAGAATTTGATAGATCCCAAATATGTAAACACGCATGCGACAATGAACGCGGTGGTCAATGGAACCATTTAAGTATAGTCCATAAAGAAACAGATGGTAAAAAGAGAAAAATCAAAGAAGCGGCTCTAATTATACTAAATGAGAGCAATTGTGTCGCAAATTCCTCGGCAGAATGCAGTAGGATCTGTTTACCCATATTAAAAGAAGAAGTTAGTATAAGAAAAATATCACTATAAGTAAATCAGTACCATATCGATTATACATCATTTATGTATTTTAAATAATATACATATAAAATCAAAATTTGGTGTTTATTGAGAGTAAACTAAATATAAGACCAAATACTTATGTCGGGGTAGTGTTATGAGGTTTTTTCATCATGATTTACTACGGAATCACTAACAGGAAATTTTTACTATTATCATGGCATGTGTTTGTTTTTTTTTATAGACGAATTACTGGCTATGATTTTTTCTGACGGATATTCTCAAGTTAAAGTTGATTTTATGTAATCGAATGAACTAACTATCTTACGATAAAGTCGTCCCAGGAACGCAACTAAGCAATATTGGTAATATCATTTTAAAGTAGTCTACTTTATATATATGGATAATGCATGATGATACAGATTTTTTTTTTCATTTTGTACTCATTATTAAATTTAATTTAAACACTACAAATTTGGAACTATCCTTAACATATGAAACATCCTGATTGTCGATTATCAGAAACATGGGTAGACATGCATAGTTAGATAGATACGTATTTTATTCTGACACTCAAATGTTTGCAATGCCTTATGCGGTGATTGCAAAAGCTGATAGTTGAAAATTTCTAAATGGTATATTTTCCTTATAAATTGTTCAAATATTAAAAGATAAAAGGCCAACAACTGGTCAGAAAGAACGTACTTGGGTTTTTGAGCCGTCCTAACAATATTGGGTATCCAGTTTTTGTATTCTTTCTCTGTTTTATATGTTATATAAAGAACATTTTAAAGATTTTTTTACCGTTTCTTATTTATATCTCCTTTTAAAAATAAAAACTGTTTTTTTCAATATAAATGAGTAAGATAAAATTAAATTTTTAGAAGATTTTTTCACCAAGTAGCAAAAAACAAAATTTGTTTAATTTATTAATTTTTGTGTCTTGAGAACGATTTCCGAAGTGGAAACTGAAACGTCAATAAACTTATTTTAAACATCTATTGTAGCTTATTCCCATTAAAATAGTAAGTACTTTAAGATGCCACAAAAAATAGCTTCAGAACAATATTTGCTTAAAAACAACTCGCCTTAACCCTTCTATCTTATAATTTATTAAAATATTTTCCTATTGCTCGCAATTAATCATTAATAAAATATGACCAAGCCAAAATTATATTTCTCTACCTACGTCTACGCACAAAATGATTCATTCTACAATTCTTTTCTATTTCAGGTCAATCATGGGTAAGGTAGCAGCAATTGGCATCGACCTTGGTACCACCTACTCCTGTGTTGGTGTTTGGCAGCATGGTAAAGTCGAAATTATAGCAAATGATCAAGGAAACAGGACCACCCCTAGCTATGTCGCCTTCACCGACAGCGAAAGGCTTATAGGGGATGCTGCCAAGAACCAAGTAAGTGGTATAATTATCATGTATGTTAAAATATTTATTTATTTATATAAATACGAAGTTTCTATATTACGAGGCATAATTTAGGGATTTAGCTAAATATTAAATAAACAATAATGCAACAATTATACAAATGTATAAATCAACAAGTCACTTGTCTACATCAACTATTAACACATTTTTTTTATTTTTTTATTAAAAAAAATAAATAATTAAATTAAATTAAATTTATTAGTTGTTTATAGTTTATTATAAATAAAAGAAGGCGAAAAATCACTTAAAAAATAGACATATACCTTTTTTGAACTGGAATATCTAGGAGATGTCGATAAAAGGTTGTATGATCTCATGGTTATCAAAACTTTTACTGTATCATGATATTTTAGCAAAAAAGGGACTTTTATCATTCATTTCAATATTGTGAAAAACCTACGAATTCTAGATAAAAACCATCGAGTTAGAATCTATGGAGAGGGCATCACGTGACTAAAAACGACCTCACTTCGGCCATATTGTTAATACTATTGTTAATATTGTTTTGACACTATTGACAGATCGTATAAGTTTATTTACGTTTGTTGTTTTTCGAATATTTTAAGTTTTATAATACTTTACAACGTAGTTGCAGTAGCAGAAGCAATGCTAATAAAAAATCTTCAGGAATAACGTGGTACACGTTAGTATACAAATATGTAAACAAAGTAATGGCCCGTACTTCAGAGAATAAATTAATAGTATTTGACTGTATTAATTTATCGTTTTGTGTAATATATCGCGTTTTTAGTGTTTACCGAGGGGTAAATAAATCATAGTTTATTAAAATTGTATTGCACTTTTTAGATTATGATTAAATCTTCTAAATAACTAGCCATATTTTTTTTAGTAGTTTTAATATTATTGAGTCCGGTCATGATCCTACCGCCATATTGGTATTATTGTTAGCCACACCTACCTACGCCGTTTTTAATACACATGTTAATATGCTCGTAGCTTCTCCATAGATTCTAACTCGATGATAAAAACGTTTGTTTCGCGAGTTAAAGTTTGACAGTTTAATCACGAGACGTCAGTAGAGTGATCTTGTCAAAATTTCATAAGCGAAAATTGCCAAAAGGCAACAAATTTGAATGAAACCAGAAGAACATTTTGTTGATAAACAATTGTCTCTCGAATGGTATTCGACCAGACTATTTCACGAGACAATTAATGCACCACAACATAATCTTTATTTATTTGTTAACAATTTTAAATATACAGTTATTAGAAGCTATAGTAGTTTGACGACCATTCTTTTTCTACCAAAGCATGATTTTGTGTATTATTGACTTTAACTTTTGAACTCGAAGGTTCAGCTTCATTTGTTGTTCAAAGATTTTTGATCAACTCCTGGTGGTGACTGGAATCCAGCTGCAGATATGGTTTTAGAGAGCTTGGATTTGAGCCGTTCATTTAATTAACTCCTGTTTAGAAACACCTTACTTGAATAAGGCTGACACAGCTGAAGATGGATATGAATGGTCTGTTTTTTTATGTTTTTTTGTTATGCGCATCGCCCCACATCGAATTTTCCCATTGGCTCTTGACCTGGAAATCCCTATTTATCGCTCGAACAACGCATATAAATATTGGCGATTTTCAGGTCAGTCCCTAACGGGTTCTCCGAGAGATTAGTGCTCCTGGGGCTCTGCTCCTGTTCTATTTTCCATACTCTGTGGCTGAGTTATTATTCAACTACAATTTGGTGTTATTATTTCGACAATCCTTTGTCATGTAAGAAATATCTTGCCTTTTTTAAGGCAAGACATCGAAGACCAAAATATTTACAAGTCCATACCCAGAAAATGGTCTTGGGTACAGGAGCTCTCGACGTTTATTCCGAAGCCCTCTACAGAGCATCCGGGGATATCAGTTTATGATATTAGTTTTGTTCCCCCGAGATGACACACTGTCACTTCCATATAATATACTTAAATATAAATTTACATTCAAAATATTTTGTTGAATTTTATATTCTTAGAATCATTTTTGTTAAAATATATAACAATTTAATTTCACTCATTTATCTTCACATGTTTTTTATTCGTGTACAATTCGAAATCGGTTTCTGTAACTTCAATTTTGAATAAATGGCTGTCGAATTAAGAAATACTTGCAATAAGTTCGTATTTGGTACAATAATTGTGTAAAAGGCGACCGAATGTCGAATACCGGTATTCCCGATATGGCAAAAATCTTACGAACAGCATCAGCCGAAGGTGATATGTTTAACATATGTTCTTATGTAAGAATAAATTGAAAATTATGCATAACTATTAGACCGTTTATGGTAGAGTTTAATTGATTGCAGCTGATCTTTATCTTTTTATTTAAATGTAGATTTTGCTCGTATTTTGAAAATTTGTAAAATTATCAAATTGAAAATTTAAGAAGTGATATTTACGACCAATGCTGAATACAAATGAAGAACAGGGAGCAAAAACGGTCTTAATCAATTTTGTAAAATTTTTCAGAAGAGCAAAAACAAAGTTTTTTTTCCTGAATCTTTAAAAATAATAACATATATCACGCAAACCTAAAGTAATATCAAATTTTAGTTTATTATAATCTTGTTAGCACTCAATAACAAACTCAAAAAATAATTTTCGTAATATTAAGGACGGTAATAGGTAGGTATATTATACCGATATATATATGGCTTATATACTGGCCTATATATCGTTCATTGAATACAACCAATGAATACAACCTTCCGCTCTACTTAGCATTCGTAGATTATGAAAAGGCTTTCGACAGCACTGAACACTGGGCGGTTGAAGAAGCTCTGGTCAATAGTAGAATAGATTCAAGATACCGACAATTGATACATGATATTTACCAAAACGCAACCATGACCGTAATTCTGGACGACAAATTAATAACGGATAATATAAAAGTTAAACGAGGAGTCCGACAAGGCGATATAATTTCACCTAAACTGTTTACCTTGACCCTCGAAGACATAATAAAATCAACAGATTGGGAAAACAGAGGAATATGTATTAACGGAAAATACCTAAATCACCTTAGATATGCGGATGACATACTCCTGATCTCCTCGGAATGACAAGAACTGGAATTAATGCTGAATGAACTTCATGAAAAATCACTGCAAAAAGGCCTAAAAATTAACTTCAGCAAAACAAAAGTAATGACAAACACGGAAGACCAAGAGGCAATAAAAATAAAAACAGAAAAAATAGAACAGGTAAATGAGTATATCTATCTAGGACAAGCAATCAGAGCTAATAGAGAAAATTAAACAGCCGAAATATCGAGACGAGTAAGAATGGGATGGGCAGCGTTCGGCAAACTTTCTTACGTTCTAAAAAATCAAACAATCCCTCTATACTTACGAAGCAAGGTATATAACTCCTGTATCATACCGGTGCTCACCTATGGAGCACAGACATGGACATTTACACAGGCCAATTTGGATAGGATAAGGAAGGCACAAAGAGCGATGGAGAGACAAATGTTGGGTGTATCACTTAGACATAGAAAACGTAACCAGTGGATCAGAATCAGAACAAAGACAGTAGACGCGATAGAACAAGCAGCAAAACTGAAATGGAAATGGGCTGGACACAATGAACGTCTCCAAGACGGACGATGGAACAATGCCATCGGAAAGTGGCGTCCATACAATGCAAAGAGATCAAGAGGTAGACCACAGATGAGATGGAAAGATGACATCAGGAAACAAGGAGGTCCCACATGGCAGAGAACAGCTCAAGATAGGGAAAGATGGAGAGAACTGGGGAGACCTATATCCAACAATGGAAGGATAGAGAATAGGTTCAAAAAAAAATATCGTTCATTTAGAAGAAGAGGGTTACAGCTAAGAATTTTCACTTTTTCAATAGAGAGGTTTAAAAATTCCTATTAATTTATTTAATTTATATTGTGCAGTGTTTATTAATATTATAGGATTTAATGATTGAATATGATAGATTTCTATGAATGCTGTAACTATCGAGGAATTACGCTCCTAAATGCAGCGTATAAAATATTCTCCAATATACTATGTCATCGTATGGCACCGTATGCAGAGCAAATAAGACGGACAATACCAGGCTGGTTTCAGAGGTGGTAAATCAACAATTCATTAGATTTCAACCCTGAGACAAATTCTAGAAAAAACACTGGAATACGGTGTAGACACGCACCACATATTTATAGACTACAAGGCAGCCTACGACTCTGTAAATAGAAGAGAATTGTTTAGAGCAATGATAGACCTGGGAGTACCAACTCAGTTGGTAAGTCTAACCAAACTAACCCTTAAAAAAGTTGAATGCAGAGTATGAAACCAGGGGGAACTCTCTGAACCTTTTAATACAAATAACGGGCTACGTCAGGGAGATCCATTCTCCTGTATACTATTCAATCTAGCTCTGGAAAAAGTAATACGTACGTTACAAATCACAACTACCGGTTCAATATATAACAAATCTGTGCAAATCCTAGCATATGCTGATGATATCAATATTGTTGGGAGAACGGAAAACGCAGCACGAGAGACGTATGTAGCACTAAAGGAAGCGGCTACAAAAATTGGTTTAATAATAAACATTAATAAAACGAAATACATGAAAATAGGTCCGCAACCACAAATACGACGGCCACTTGTTATAGAAAACGACGTCATCGAAGCAGTTAACGAATTTGTATACCTGGGAACGCCCGTCAATACTGAAAATGACATTACCGCAGAGATAAACCGCAGAATTTGCACGGCTAATAGATGCTATTTTGGGCTTAATCTCCTTTTTAAATCTACAGTTATATCAAGAAATACAAAAGTAAAACTCCACAAAACAATAATACGCTCAGTCCTAACATATGGTTCAGAAACCTGGACTTTAACAAAAAGCAATGAAAACATGTTAGGATGTTTCGAAAGAAAAATACTGAAGCGAATCTATGGAGCGGTAAATGAAAATGGTGTCTGGAAAAGACGATAC